ATTAAAATCTGCACCGCCGCCTGCTGCATGTCGTTTAATTAAAAAATGCCCCAAAAGCATTTACCCAAACCCCGAACTTAACTCAGTTGGAGTGGATGCAATGGATTCATTGATGCAGCATCGCTGACAATGTTGTCGGTGTCGTGTGTGCATTTTAATGAAAACGGAAACCAAATAATCACTGGCTGGGATCAGGCCGCAACGGTCAAGCAATGGCAAATTAAACAAAGCCAAGGATTTCCATAATAAAAAGTGCAGTTTGCGGAGCGTATGAATTTAATGATTTAATCACACGCTCCTCGCCGACCGCCCTGCGGCACAAGTGGCATGCCTTGTTGACACTGCATGCGTGTCAAGAGAATTTGTCAAAAAATGCAAGCGGCTCAAGGGAAATAACCAAGTGGAATTTCACTCACCCACATTGCCACTTCCTCCACCGTGGCAGGGTTGTTGGCCGCGGGGCGTCCTCGTTGCATTTCTGCAAAAATTATTAACTTGGATGTTGCACGGCTGTCAAATGCTGGCATGTGGTCAACATTTAAGTGTAATTAATGCCCGCGGCCAGTCGGAAGTTGCATCGCCAACGACGCACTTCCGCCTGCCCAAAAGTGCCAGTGCACCCAATCTGTGTATCATCTCTCCTATCCTGTCTCAGTCTAAAATATGAAAAGCAAATATTCAGCTTAATTTGATTAGAACACGAATCACTGCAAATGCACATTGCGTCAGCCGCGGGCTTTGTTTTTGCACTCTGCAGTATCATCCGAATATATGGTATATATATGTATATGTATATGTATAGTATATGGTATGTGTTTGTTTGGTTATATCTTGAAGCCTTTTCGAGATGTTCTATTTGCTGATGCGTGTCCAATGCAGACTTTCCCATTTCTTACATCCAGAGTAATTACAAAACCCACTCGTAGCTATTGTTCCCCAGAGAGATTTCAAAGCAACATTTACACGATTTTCTAATGGACTTTTGGCCCTTTTTTGGGTAATCGAAATGTGTTTCTTTGCTAATTAATAGTTATCCATCAAAAAGTTTTTCACTTTGAACTGTCAGAAACTACTATATGCAAATTTTCATCAAAAGTTTTCTTTACATTTCTCGCCGTTTTCTTGGCCTCTCTCTCAACATCAGTAAAATTGACTAACGTGCCGTAAATTGAATTTGTTCCACATGGCAGCCAATGCCACCAGTTTCAGTAAGCCGTGGCAAGTGTGGTCTTTGCCGCCGCATGTGGCATAATTACACAGGCGTTAAGACATACTTCACTTATAGTTTGCGGAAAGTCAATTAAACTCTGACACTGCGCTGAGCTCTTTTAGTTTTCGATTTGTATATTGTGCAAAACTATTATAAATAACTCTTTGTGCAATTGACAAGTTTGAAGAGTAGAAGAAAATAAGAATAGAAAATGAAATGAAAATTTGGGAAATTACCTCAGTGTGTGTACACTCAGAAAATTTAAAATTTTTATACTCTTGTCGTTAAGGGCAGCTCACTTCATAATTCGGAAATTTTTTCTAAAAATCTGAGATTTTCTTTTATTCATTTAAAATTTAGAAAAATACATCAAATTTTACAGGGTGTTTTTTATGTGTATATACAGCTTGCTTATAATATTATTAATCAGTAGTCATTTCATGTTTCATAGATTCATGTAAATTAATCTGAAAGAATCTACGCATTTATAGCATTACAACCAAGTGTTTTTTTATATAAGAGTTTGCAGTTCAATTTTTTAGAAATATTTTCTATTATTAAGAAAAATATTTATATGTGAAAAAACTGCCTCAGATATGATATCTGTAAAGTATTTTTTGCTACTTAAGTTATAAGATTCTTAATGCTCTTAAATATTTAAAAATCTATTCTCACAGTTATCTTTTCCTGAGAATACCCAGCTCCGATAGTTGCTTCAAGACCATCTCCATTGAGGAGTGCCAAAACTTTGTCACAAAAATGAATTTAATTAATTTTAATCACTTATTTATGATGATTACCAATTTCCTGTCTCGAAGCATTCTCTTTTACAGCTGAAAAGTTGCCCAGACACGGACATGGACACGGACACAAAAGTTTTTCAGCTTTTTGGCTGCCACTCCTAAACTGCAATTAAAGTGCAATTTAGTGTGAGCCAAAAGACGCTTCTACTCAGCTCAGCTCAGCTCAGTTCAATTCTGTTCTGTTGTGATCCCAACTGTTTTCTGTTCTTGGCCAGACTGCAGACGGTTAACGAGGCTCATCGAGGCGCCTCTGCGTTTTGTTCACTTGGACCTTTGGCTTATTAATTTAAATTTCAAGCTCTTCGCTGCATAGTTGCAGCTTCTTTGGAGTACTCGAGGACGACTCGAGAGGGAAATGTGAGTTTTAACTGGGCCTGGGCAGCCTCCCGAATTGCGTGCCAAAGTAATAATAAACATAATTTGCTGTGCACACTCTGCAGCTAATTTGGAACGGGGGTTGGGCAGTGGTGGGGGCAGCGAGGATTACAACGGTTACAACGCTTCAGACGTCATCATCAAGAGCTCAGAGGTCTCAACTCTTGTAGGTGTCCAAGTGCAAAAGTTCGAGCACAATTTCGAGTTGGACTTTAACAAAGTAAAAAGTTAGCCAAAGTGCTGCGGGAGCCTTTGTGGCACTTGTGTTAGCTTGTTGCGTTGGTAAATACCCTGTATTGCGCACTTGTAATGGGGTATATTCGCTGCCGATTTTACAATATCTTATTAAAGTAGATGCTTCAATTTGTTATCTTCATCTCTTGTTACTTACCCTGTAAAATTAAAGTGAGGTATTCTTTTCATTCAACTTTTGGATGATTACAATTTCAATTTAAAATTTCTTGTTTCGGGAATATTTTCACATGCATAAATGGTTTACCAATTTAAGTATTTAATAATTCTACCGGGAATCCTCAATCCTCCCAACAAGTAAATAACATACAAATAAATACACAAAGAATTTGTTTAATATTTATATTTATATTATTTTAATTTTCAATTAACAAAACTTTACTTTAATTAATTTATTTATTAATCAATTTTAAATAAATAAATGATTATGACCATTTTGGCTTAGTTGCTACTTGTGTTTAACAGGGCATCGCAAAGTCGTTCATTTGCATTTACAACTAAGTTTGTGGTGGTGCTGCTGCTTTTGTTGTTGTGGTTTCCTTTTTGTGTTAGTTGTAAATTAAATTTGCAAACGGTCTGGCAACTCGACACTATAGTTTATAATCGTTTGGGAATTGAAATGCAGTCGATTCGAAAATGTCTGCAAGTTTTTCACTTTTTTTTTTTTGGCTGGTCAGCACAACTTTTTGGCTCGGCATTTTTATTACAGTTGGCAGCCGCAGCCACAAATAAAAATACGACTGTGGGTAAGGGCGATTCTACTCAACATTCTACACTCTATCATTCATTATTTAAAATGCACGGCGCCATTGCCATTTAGACACCTAATGGCACAGACTTGTAGCCTTGCAACATGTGGCAGCACTCACACCCCGTAACTGGCAACCTCGAGCGCTTGTAATCATAAAAGTTTACGAGTCAAAAGAAAAAAAACAAAAACCAAATCAAAACGACAAGTGATGAGTCGAACCACGATGACACTGGGCTCAGCTGCACCCATTTTGCGGGCATGGGAATTTAATTAAAATCAAGCTCAACTCCCCTCTAAACCATAAGCCCCCTGCCCCAAAAACAACCCACTAACCCAGACCCATTCTCAGGCCGTCGTTTAGTTTCAATCAAAGTAGCGTCGAAAAATTTACGCAAATTGACAACAGAAGCGACAACGACGTCGAGCGTCAATAAAAAACGTTTAGAAGTGCCTCTCCCCCCTGATATCCTTCCCCGCATAACACGCATACACCTCGAGCAGAACTCAGTCGTAATTGAAACTCATTAGCGTGCATTTTAGTGGCCATTTTGTGCCTTTCACAAGCCTTTGGCCAACCCTTTGGGTCCCATTTTGTTGTAAGTGGGTTTAACTCTGTTCTGTGTTGGTCCCTGCTCGTAGTTTGCTGTTGTTGTGGGTTGTTCGTGGTTGTTGTGTGCGTGTGTGTGTGGCGTGCTTGGTTGTGTGGTTTATGTGGTAAGTGTGCCATCATTATGAGTGTTATGGGTTTTTTTCTTTTGCATACATACATATATATATTTTTTTTTATTGTTGACGGGTTTTGCCGAGCTTTTATGAAAGCGACAAAAATGCAATAGGCAAGTAAAAAAGCAACAAATGCAAAAATAAAAATATTAACAGCTGTTTTGTCACGCCAAAGCTGGTACACCCTAGCAAAACGTGTTGACTGCTAAATTTAAATTGTAATGTTGCAACTGTATAAAAAGTCGATCTATTCTCTTTTATAGTAGTTACATATTGAGCATTGGGTATCAAGATAGCTGGGTAAAAATAAACAAACAGGCAGAAGAAAGGTCATCAAGTCGCCTTATAATCAATTCTGATCAATACTAAATAACACTCAACTTTCAAATAGAATTCAGCCGAGTATATTTCATAATGTTTATATGCATATTTCTTTAATGTTTGTTTATGTTCATTGATTGCTAGTGCTAAAAAAAATAGCTTAATTTTTTAACAATATTTGAACTATTTCTTTTTTAAGATTTTCCAAAACGTTTGTGTGCATTAAAAAGCAAACAAGTTTTGATTAACAACTGCTCCATTGTAATGATCTAAAGTATTTTAATTGGTGCCACTTATAAATAAAAATAGATAACATTATAAATGAATGCGAGCAATATATTAATTTATTCTGTAAAGTGTACGTGTATCTCTTTATGAATATATATTTAGCTCTACGTTTTTTGACTCTTTTTTTACACATTTCAAACCAAAAACTAAAATATCATTCACAAGATTCATGCAGACAATTAATTAACTATATGAGAATGTTGACATTTTTGAAATTCCAAGCTGCACGTTGTCCTGTTCACAAATATATTTATTTATATTTAAATATTTGTTTAGCTATATATTTATTTATTTCTGAATGCGTGAAATGATTTGTTATAAATGTATAATGTGCTCAGTCAACCCTTTAAAAATATTTTATACACATTTGTAAAAAGTTGGATCCAAAAAGGAGAATACAAAATATATATAAAAAATGGAAACTCATACGAATATAGAATAGGAATTTGCAGAGTTCAATGTTAACTGAGTTTGACTTCAGATAGTTCCAATTTGAGCTCCATTGCCTCGACCATGTTGCCATTGTGGTGCAGACCCTTCAGCCACTTGATATATATCTCGGGTATGCCCGTCTCCTCGGCGCCCTTGACCAACACCTTCAGATATGTGCAAGAGGGCTGGCGATTCTGAGGCACATCTGTCACAGCGGATTCGGCATGGACAATCGTGTCCGGTTGATTGCTGAGATGGTAGGCGCGACAGATGACCTCGTCCTTGGTGGTCAGCGAGTGAACGGGCACACTAATCGGTATATAAATGCCGTCGGAAACGCCCTCCTGGCTGTGAGAAAAAATGTTGTAGTTATATACGTATATGACTTATTAATTAGTCAGTTTATACTTATCCAAATCCTTTAGATTGCACATGTCAATCTCCCAAATGGCGCCAAACACTTGACTACCAGCCGTCGGCACAATTGTCGCCGGTGCTCCCAGCCAGTTATTCGAGCCGACAGCCTTAAAATCTAGGCGATAGTTCTGCAATAAGTAGAACAGTTACATCATATATATTGCTGCCTATTAACTTACCTCCAGTCTGCCAGCTCCGAGGCGCCTCGCCGTGGGATTTTGTATGTGGATGCGACTGGCCAACATATTGCTGCCAAAGCCAAAATAATAGAATTTGCCGGCCATCTTCATCTAAAGCTCGCTTCAGGTGTGTATTCTGCAAAGAGTTTTTCTTCAATGATATATATATATATATTTATTTATTTAAATTTCCAAATTTTCTGAAGAAATAAATTTATTTCAGAGCAAATTTCGTGCTGGAAGTGTCTAAGGTTTGACAGTAATTGATATCATTGCTATATTGCACTGCTCGCAAGCAGTGCACATTTAAAAAGTAGAAAGCAGTTTTGTGTTGGTTGTGGTCTTCTCTGAAGCTGCACTCATGGCTGTTGAAAAAATAAATACATATGTATTTATAAATAAATAAATAAAAATGCTTAGTTTTATTAAGCAATAGAGCAAATAATTGTTTACTTATTTATTACATGTCTACTAATTGGTAAGTCACATCATTAAAAACCGTTTCACTCATAATTTACAGCCGCAATATGGCAAAAGCTCTTTCACTTCAGAGCTTTTCAATTGTATGGAGAACAAACAGCTGATTCTGATTATATTTTTACAGGGCCTGCAAATTGTTGTATTTTATAAAGTAATTAAAATAGCACTTACCGGCACTTTTTACGTTCTTTTACTCAATAATACAATCAATATTACGCGGTAGATTCATTCACTCTAATTATTAATAATGTGTACACGTCACTCAATTAATGTTTTCTTTGTTTACATGCTACTTGCCCAGCTGACAAAGCGCGACTGACTTTTGCCAGAGAAAGAAAGCAAAGTCGAATTTCGAGTATTTAACACTACACAACAAAATATCTTAGCATGCATTGCTTTCTTGATAAGAGATAAAAATTTTAATAACCTGAAAATGGGTAAAAAGAAGTACATAATTAAGTTGTGTGCAAAAATGTAATAAACAAATGAAGCCGTTTTCAATCCCAAAGAGTATGTGAATTCTTAATTAACATCAATAATCTGTCTGTTTGTATAACTATAAATCTACTGCGATTATGATACGACCTAAATGTTCTGCAATAGAGTGATCAAAAACCAAACAATTGAATAATGTACATGATCACTTTACGATAAAATCCAATGTTATGTTTGAATATCATATGTACTTATTTCTTCTGAAAATTAATCTTCAATATATTATTTTATTATTCTAAGCTTAAATGAGTTAATACATATATAATTTGAATTCATTTTGTTAAATAGTGTAAAAGAACTGGGGCAAGTTCAGCATCTTACACTTAGCAACTAGACGAAAGCTGTATATTTTGGTTTGAAACTTGACTGTTTCTGAACAGTTTTTTTTGACGTGGTATTTGGTGTGCAACAGTTCCGGTTGAAGTTTGGGAATGTTTTACTAATGCTTAGAAACAAATAAAATTCCCTTCGGTTAGCGAAGACTCCAACCCACAGAAGCAATTTCAAAATTGAGTTGAAATCGAGCGATTAACAATTGAGAGAAACAAATTAGTTGAACAGCTCAACCTCACGAACTTGAAGCGTCTCTTCCAGTTTGCTCACAGTTTTGTTATTGTGCTTGAGGCCCTGCAACCACTTGACATAATTCTCGGGAATGCCGCTCTCAATGGCACCTTTGACGAGTACCTGCAAGTAGGTCTTGGAGGGCTGTCGGTTCTCGGGCACCTGATCTGGCTCCATTTCGTGCAGGTTGCTCTCAGGCTGGTGTACTAAATGGTAAGCCCTCGTTGAAATCTCAGTGCCTCTGCCATGCAGCTTCACTTGCACACTAATGGGTCTATATATACCCAGGTGGACACCTTCCTGACTAAAAATAAATCATAATCATTTCATAGACTGCTATCTGGTCGTTTCTCATCGTTACTCACTTATCTATGTCCGCCAATTTGGAGAGGTCTATTTGCCACAGTGTGCCCCAAGTAAGAGTGCCCGGTGTCGGCACAATAGTTGCCACTGCTCCATCCCATCTCACAGAGGACACCATGGCAAAGTCCAAGCGGTAATCTTCGAGCAGAGCTGGTCCCACGATCTCAGCGCTTGGGTTCTGAATGTGAATTCGCTTTGCCAACATGTTGCTGCCAAAGCCAAAATAATAGAATTTGTCGCCATGCACCTCAGCCAGCGGATAAGTCTGGTTAATATTCAGATCGGCGCCAGCTCCATTGATCGCACTCAGAGCCACAATATAGATAAGTGTAATGAATATTTTCATTTTGTGTACTGTTTTTTGACAACCTTCTCGTCGTCTATTCAAATCAAAACTGCAAACTGCAATCGAGTAATTGCTAGAAAATAAATCAATATTTTGCACAGTCCCTTCACCAAAGCGATGCATCCACTTAAATTTGTTGAAAATTAAATAAAAATATAAAATAATAGAGAACTTTGCAGTCGTACCCAACCGATTGTGGAATACTCTGATAATAGCTGGCTCAACCTCTGCAAAAGGTTGTCATAAATTTCCTCTTTTTTTTAATTGGTGATTACAGGTCTACACGAGTAGGAGATATAATTTCTTACGATTTGCGGGGCATTCACTTTATTGTATAAATAATGAGATTTAATTAGTTAGATTATCATAATATTTAATTTAGATGCTGATAATTGACTTTCAAGACTCCAGTCTGATAACTCTTGGTTTAGTTGTCCAACATCTTTGGACTTTCACATTTTCATTATTCTTGTATATAATAATCATTTTTCTCTCGCTAAATAATTTCTGAGTGTGACAATCTCAAATGCTTGTATTTTGTTAAGTACTTGAAATGATTTTCAATCAGAGCAACGCAATAGAAAGAACAAACTGCCAACGCATATTGACATTTTTATTGTGCAATTATTGGCAAACTACATTGACAATAAACTGCTGGTATTTATTTACATCTGCAAATTAATAAACTTGTGTAAGTGGATAACAGCAATCAGTGTTTTTTCAATTACTTTCGCTGACAATTTTGTTTTTATATAATCGGAGACAATTTGATTTATTATTAAATTCAATATTTATTTTCTGTTACAAAACCTTGGACCACGTTTGTTTCGCAAATATGCGCTTCAAATTTTTTTTTTTGGCTAACTCGGGTAATCCTAAAAAGGGTAATCGGGTAATCCTTCTGCCATTTGCAACAAATATTGATTACTTTTATATAATTACATTAACTGCCACACTCATGTGAAGTTGAAAATTGGTCAAATTCGGACAAATTAATTATTTTTGAAACAGAAAATTATTAACGTGCAGCTAGCAGAAAGAAAACGCATAAACGATAAGCGAACAAGGGTGAAAATAAAATCGGTATTGGATTTAATTATGGGTTTCTGTTTTTTCTTTGCTATTGTCTATCTTGTTATTCAAGTGCATAAAGTGATAATTAGAAAATATTTCAAACATTGTTGTCTCTAAGTTCATTAAGAACTTGATTTGGATAGTCATTTCTCATAGTTCCCATTGTTTTATAGCTCATTTAATATTGTGCGAGATTTAAGACATAAGTGTGGGCTTGGTGATTGATACAGAGTGTCCACAACCATTGCGGATAATACTCGGCGTTTAATAGTTAATATAATAGTGCATTAATAATTACTTAATAATTGCTCTGATCGGGCGCGACGCGTGCTCAACTCTGACTGTCTTTATCAAACACGACTGAACGACTAACTAATGCCAGCCTTTGTCAAGTGCGTCTTTGCTCCAATTGATCAGTTCAACGAATAAGTACTGAAAATGAGAGACGCACATCTACTCGCTCATTATTTCTCAATCTGTCTATGTATATTATGCATACAGAACTAGACTCTAAACATTGTTGCTTTGACATACTTATATGCCACTCGTGATAATAGCATCAACTATATATGTACATAGTGCATACACTAAGAAAACAAAATCGCAACGCGTTTTAGAAGTGACTCAACGCAAGAAATTTTTCTTGTTTTTAGGAATAATTTATAAATATACGAAAAAAATGTCTGAAAAAAAAAAAAATAATTTCTTATATTCGAATATACTTTTAATAAGTAGAAATGCAAGTTTATTTGAAATAATCTTTTCTGAAATTCAGCAAATATTAATAAATTCTCTTCTCTCGATTTGATTAGTTGCAAGTCACTTTTGAACCACGTCGAGATTTCAATTCGCCGTAAAAACGTAAAATTTTTTCAAAGTAAATTCTATGAGTTCATCATAAAATGTTTTGGTCGGTGAATTCTTAAAATATATTTTCTCTTATCAATACCAAAATTAACAAGAATTCAGAGATTCGAGTTCTGCGTACACATATAAAAAACAAGCTGGAAATTAGCAATATATTTTTTTTCATTTTAGAAAATTGTACTCTTGATTTAAGAAAAGAAAAACTTGGTTTTGCTTTTTCTGAATAATAAGGTGAGTTACGCTTGGCGCCAAGAGAATCGTAGTTTTCTGAAATTCAGTGCAATTTTTTTCCGAGTGTAGAACGCATTTAGTAATTTATTTTTAGGTTTATGGAGTAGCAAAGCTAACCGAGCAGCGACAGTTATTTTGACAGTTATTCGGGTTCAGCTTGTGGCAACAAGCTCGACAAATTGTTGCGCCACGTGGTTGCCCCAAACTACCCAACTATCCCTACCTCCCGTAGGTCTGCCGCATGGTTTCTGTCATGTTCAGTAACCAAGTAACCACCAATACAAATAAAACATAAATTGTAACGAGCTTGTCAAGCGGAGTCATCGACGGCGGCGTCGTCGTTAACTATCGACGTCGACGTCGACGACGGCGTCATTATATAATTGACTCCATGATGTTTTGCCATCTTGCAGTTTATCACCAGTGGGTGGTGCAGGGTGGTGCATGAGGTGTTTATCAGTGATAGCCACAATGATGATGGCGACATGCATCAACCAGCATGTCTGGATGCATGTCAAAAGTAAACGCGGCTAATAATGATGTTGGGGAGCTGTCGGAGGAGCTGTCATTGGCAGACTTCCGGGGAATGGCGGAACATTCATCCATCAATTCAAGTGTCACTCAGCTGCAGCTGGGCACACATGGCGTATGCGTAATTATATCTGACTTCACTATCTGCCTGCATTGCATTGTAATTGAAATGCATTTATGAGCTTGTTGAGCAGATAGATAGTTTGCTTCAACATTGTGTGCTTATTTTATTTTATGTTTTCATTTGGATTATGTCTTAAGGTTGCACAAGAGTTTGGCCAAGCTGATGAGATGAAAGCTGGCAAGACGTCGGAATAATTTGTTGTGCCATGCTTGAGTGTGTAAAGTGGCGTTGATTGCTGTCACTCATCATCAGCGCAAGTTGGATTTTTGCTGCCTCCCATCGATTTCCACCTTCACCCTATAAGCATAACTCAAAGCATTTTTCCGCGTTAAGCCTGAAAACATTTTTGCCGGTGAACATAATTTTTACACGCAAATATTTGTTGGAGAGACATGCGTCAACCTTGCGAACTTTTCTCTTGAGAAAAAGTTGTCAGTTGAATTGCCAAAGTTTGCACACACTCATAATCACACACGCAAACACACACGCACACACACTCCCTCTGAGCCACGCTCCCTTGCCTACCTGCCTGGGTGCGAGTGGCTGCGTTGTCAGCACAAATCAAACATCCCGACTTTGCCCGGCCAGCTGAGAACTCTGTTGATATTTGCAATGCTTAAATTGATTACGAGATTCTTTCAAGAGTTTACAATTATGCACTATTTTAGAGGAGAGTGTTCCTCCTTATGCATTGTTAATGATACAGCTCAACATAAGGAGTAAAGTTCATATTTTAGGCAGTTAAATCTTATCGCTCTACAATGCTTTCAGTAGTTTTTCTCAATTCCTTTTGCCCTAAATATGTTTTAAAAATCACTCTCTGTTGGAAAGAGCATCGCATCTTTGTTGTAGTTTTCGATTGGATTTGCTGAAATGCGGAAACTTGATCCGTTTACTTGCGGAATTTTTGCTGGTGGATTGTGGACTTTCGGTTTGGTTTTGTGGCTCAATCATTTTAATGGCAGTATCGTGTTAGGCCTTGTTGAAAATGTATCTCATATATACATTTCATTCTCCCATTGATGCACAGCCACACACACACACACTCACACACACACACATACAGGCATGAATTTACTAAAAGCGTTGCCTTCACTAGAGCAAATTAGATTTGAAGATATGGAAATTAATTTGTTGTTTTATTTTTGCACTTACCGGGCTTATCAAATTGCGCAACAGTGCAAATATTTGCACATCTTTTATTTTGTTGTTTACAGTGCATTGAATAAATTAATTGCTTCACGCTTTGCTGAACATATAATTTAAAGGTCCATTTTCATGGATGACCACCTCAAAACAAATAAAGCTGGATATTATTTTGATTTTCAATTTATGTATATACTTCAAGCAATTGTCGACGTGTTGTTGACGAGAATTTGTAATTAATTTTGTCAAATTGCGTATGTAAAATGCATAAAATGAACCAATCTGTGATAATGTTGTTATTAATAAATAGTTAAATTGAAAATTACGTTTATCTTTGTGCTGAAAAAGTGACAACATGATCAAAACAAGTGGAAGAATGTGAATATACCAAGTGAGTACCCACAAAGTATCTGCAAGTCTTTGATGAGTGAAAGTTTTAAATGGGCGACAGGCAGGCAGTTGAGCTATCGGAAGCAAAAGTTAAACGAGTACGAGTATCTTTATATCTCACATGGTAAAAAGCGCGCAGAAGCGGAAAATCCATTTATCATTCTAGTGTGTGTGAGTGCGACTGTGTGTGTGTGTGTGGCAGACAGGCGAAAAGCTGCCAAAGACACTTGATAATATTTGCATGCTCAAAAACTAGCGCCAACCAATATAGTCAGGTGGGAGAGAGAGGGAGGGGGGTAGGATACAACGGAAAAGTGACAAAAGCTAAAATACGGATATGCACAGCACGGAAGGAGATTTCAGCATGAAAAATTCACAACTTTTGAATGCAAGACATGATGGGAAAATCCTGCATCGAGAGGCAACCATCTAATGAATAGATGTTGCATATTCTATGGATAGCTAAAAATCAATAATTAAATTTTAGTTTTATTTAAAAATGTTTTTCACTTACTCCAGGATGAGTGATTTTTTATACTCTAATAAATTTTAGTCCTGTCGGAACTAGTCTTCAGGAAGAGATTTAAAGAGTTAAAGTTTCAATTTCAAAACATTGTCATCAACATTTACTACTTATATAAAAATTAGCATTGATTGCAAAGGGAAAAAACTGAATTCTATATTATTAATTATAAATTGGGTGATACCGAAAATTGAATGTAAATAAATTGAATAA